GACAGGTTTCCAGTTTACATGAATCCGGTTTAGACAGGTTTCCAGTTTACATGAATCCGGTTTAGACATGTTTCCATTTTACATGAATCCGGTTTAAACAGGTTCAAAAGGGTTTGACTTTACTTACTTAATTTTAAGAGTAATTCCTAATGGTATACCTATACTCATTGTAGCACCAAGTCTACTATGGCGTGATATTTTCCGCTCCCCGCCATATTCAAATGTAGCACCAAATGTACCAGCCCTGCGAGTAAAAAATAATAATACTTAATCATTATGATTATGAACAAATTCTCTTCATAGGTTTGACCAAATGGCTAAATACTAGAGTTTGTAATAAAATCCGACAAAAAAAATTCAACATTTCTCTTTCATTAAAATCAGAGCAAAAATAAATCAATATATTATAACATAATGAAATGTTATGACAAGTTTTGTCTTCACGACTGCCATGAACACAACGAATCATGAAAATTCTGTGGCGAGACAGTAAAGGTATTCTTATACTCTGAGACAAGTATAATTGCCATATATCAACTCACTTGTCTTGACAGAAAAGATTAATATAAAAGTTTAAATGTCAAGCCCTGATTGATATTCTGTAAATTACACATATTTGTATGACAGAATACAAGCAATATAGTAAGGGAGGTGATCATAACCAAAGCAGCAGTTTCCAGCGTGGTATCCCAGAGTTCTGTTAATTTCACTAAACAGCTTTGATAAACGACAGTAGTTCTGTCAGACTACGAACAGCTTTAACTAGTCAATTTATTGAAAGATTGAACCAAACTACCAGACGTCTGTGTTTTAAAAAAAACATTGAAAGAAATTGTTTCAAAGTTTAGGAAGCCGAATATTTCCTGTCAAATTGCCAGCATGTACCCCGACTTGTATCTTTCAGATACACATACATTGAACTGCGGACTACAGGGAGGTTGAAACAAAAGTGTAACCCCTTGCTGACGTAACACTCTTGCAGTGCTGGTTAAACATGAAGGCCATGATGAAACCCCCAGTTGTCTAAAATGACACAACTCCCTTCAGCTAAAACTGGACTTTCAAATGAGTCTTCAGTTCTCATCAAATTCACCATTTCAAAACCATTGGATGGCCCATCAATAATGTTGACGGGGTCGGCAATCCTTGCTTACGTGATGATTATCAATGCCACATTTAGTGTGTGGTCCAGTGTGTGGCTCGATGTTGGCGACATGAAGTCTGGGTGCATCTCGAATGTATCAAAACACTCTTTATTGTAGCAAAACACTCTTTATTGTAGCAAAACACTCTTTATTGTATCAAAACACTCTTTATTGTAGCAAAACACTCTTTATTGTAGCAAAACACTCTTTATTGTAGCAAAACACTCTTTATTGTAGCAAAACACTCTTTATTGTAGCAAAACACTCTTTATTGTAGCAAAACACTCTTTATTGTAGCAAAACACTCTTTATTGTAGCAAAACACTCTTTATTGTAGCAAAACACTCTTTATTGTAGCAAAACACTCTTTATTGTAGCAAAACACTCTTTATTGTAGCAAAACACTCTTTATTGTAGCAAAACACTCTTTATTGTAGCAAAACACTCTTTATTGTAGCAAAACACTCTTTATTGTAGCAAAACACTCTTTATTGTAGCAAAACACTCTTTATTGTAGCAAAACACTCTTTATTGTAGCAAAACACTCTTTATTGTAGCAAAACACTCTTTATTGTAGCAAAACACTCTTTATTGTAGCAAAACACTCTTTATTGTAGCAAAACACTCTTTATT